TGACATACCATTAATGGAACCTTTAGCCTTGACATTTGGTATTATCATTGTTTAATCCTTACATTAATATTTCATCTCAAAGTTCTTACCAACTTCTTCTTCTTCTCCTTCTTTTTCTTTACTACTACTACTATTATTATTATTTTTGTTGTTGTTGTTATTGTTATTTTTATTGTTATTGTTGTTGTATTATTATTATTTATAATTTGTACAATTAACCTCCTTGTGGTTCGACCCCGGTCTTACCGGGTTATTTATTACTTCGACACTCCTGCACTTGGGAGAAGACATCAATCTTTTCATCGTGTCAATATACTTTCCTAATTTTATTGTTGCTTTAAAATCCCTAGATGTTCTTATGAAGTACATTAAAATTTTGTTCTTATCCATGATCAAATAAATAAAATGAAAAAAATTACTAAATTTGGTCGGACTTCAAAATGAATCATATAAATGCTAAGGGGCAATCCTTACCTTCTCTCAAACTAAAAAAAATAAAAAAGGAGAATCCTTATCCATCCTTAGTATAAATAAGGAGACAAGGCCTTACACTTATCCTTATCAAAAAAACATAAAACAAATCAATTACATCTTCTTATCAAAAACCTTGTTTGATATAAAGTTGTATCCAGAACAAAATCAACATTTCAATTACATGAATGATGCATTTTTAGGTTAAGGACCTACTTGCCTCACAACATCTTCTCTAAAGCTAACCAACCAGTTTTTCTAAAATAATACTAACATTTATTGACGTAAGCAAGTTTGGATTTGAAATGAAAAAATATCATCTTTAACAATCCCTTTATAATATAAAAAATTATCCATTATTGTTCATGTGTGAGCCATTAAAAATTATTTCTTAAATAATAACCCTTGACTAAAATCACCCCTACACAAAGGGAAATTTTTTAGAATTATCTAAAAGAGACAAAAATATCATAAATGCCTAAATTAAATATTATAGTCCAAAATATGTTGAACAACTTCCCTTGCATTTCCACATAACCTTGAGGTTATGTTGAAGGTATGGAAACATCAACTTACTCCCTAGTAATTAGTGGAGGCAATAATGTTGGAAAAAATAGCATGATTATTGTTTAATAGAATGGATAGTGATATCTATCCCTCAAAATATGCTAATATATTGATCATAGATATATTTCTAATCAATATACTATTAGTTAACTATTTGTACCTTTTAAGTTAGATAAACTACCATAATGGAAACTTAATCTTGAGAGGAATCCAATAACAACCTTGTAAAATCAAGTAGAATGAAGCAAAACCATACATGGAAAAGATAGGTTTAAGAAAGTGAGAAAGAAATTGAAAAAACTAAAGTATATATAAAAAAAAGCTGTAAACAAAACAATAAAAAACATGAAGAAAATTGTATTGAAATTGCATATATAAAGCTGCCCTCTTTTCTAGTAATTTATCTCACCTATTTATATTGTCAGAGTTTGAGAGTTTCATATAAATACTTAAATCTAATCTATATCGATTGATTTATATCATATAGGAAGATTTCATGATAAACCATAAAATAAATTGCACTCTATCTTGTCACTATACTAATAACCGCATGAATCCTAACTAATTTATAACATTGATCATTTTAATTTATTGAGTCCTCTTGTTTTAAATTGGACTAAACCTTATGGTTGATTACGTGAACTCTTGTTATTGCAATCAATTATTTTTTCTTGGTCAATCATAACTCTTAATCTATTTCACTCCTCATGATTGATTTCATCTTTTCTTTTCTTTTTTTTGTTTGGTTGTGAATAATCATTATTTGTATTTGGATAATACATAGATGTTTATTTTTTTATAAATTGTTTTTAAAGTTGTGAATAATCATTATTTGTATTTGGATGATACATAGATGTTTATTTTTTTATAATTTTTTTTTAAATATAGTAATCAATAAGGACGTAACTTATAAAATTAAAGTAGAGTGAATGAAGTAGATAAGTGTTGCAGGTGTGTTAAAAGACCCCAAAAATGTGCTTATTATGAAACATTGATAAGGATCTATAAAATAGATATGGTAGAAATAAATATATAAGATGGATATACTGTAACATAAAAATACATAGAAAAAAAAATGAAACCAGAGTGCTCTTTAATGGTCCTATTAATGTTGAGTTACTTGAGTTTAAGTCGGTGATGAAAATTAAATAAGTTCTTGATGTTGTTTACTTTAAGCCTGAATTTGTATCTCTTTACTGTGTGGAAAAATAACTTTATTCTATGTAATTTTAAAATTTAAAATGTGATTTTTTTACATTATCCAATCATGCATGCTTAGAGGTTTTTACAAGTTGTTTGTGTCTTTTAGTTTTTAAGCTTTCTAAGAGTTTGATTGTATTTTCAGTAAGTCAAAAATATTTGTAGTTATTATTTATCTAGTTTTTTTGTAAATGTTATTTGTTTTGATCTCAATTATGTTATTTTAGTTTATGCCTACTAATGAAGGGGTGTTTAAGTATATAATAATCATTTAAACCATGTATCAAATATTTTTTGGTCAAAATTTAAGTAAAAATCTTTGACATGACCTTTTAATACCCTACTCAATTTTGTATTTTCTTGTGAGTGATTACCTTTTATTTCTTAACTTTATATTTCTAAAGTGGTGAATGAATTTATATCTTTTTATATGTTTAGAGCAGTCAATTCTTTACACGCGTATCTCTTTGATTCTATATCTAAAAATCATGAACATAAACTGTTTTTTCGTGAGTGAACTACTTCTACTTCATATCTCTACCATCCCTGTATCAATGATAAAGATTTGAAATGATTGCATCTTTCTAAACGTCTATGTAACCCTTTATAGATAAAGTTGAAAGTCGAGAGGAGTACGAGGGGATAAGGAGTAAAGAAAGGACCTAAAATGATGCAGATAGAAGAGATATCGAGAGATTTAAAATTTATTCACATCGAAACATATTTGGTCCTAACATAAATTGATTAATTTAGATACCTAAGTTTAAGATCAATACTTTGTTGATATAAATTATTTTGGTTTAATTTATCTATGAGGATAAATAGTCAAATTGTAATATCTTTGCTTTTTGGTCCTTCCAGAATGATAGCTGTAAAACACCCTTATTGCATCCAAATTCCTTCATGAGAATAAGAAAGTAGAAGATAAACGAACAGGAAATCAAGCAGTTACATTTAATAGGGGGCAGAAGCCATTCCACTATTCAACAACATATGAAGAAAGAATGCTAATCCTGGAAAAAGCATTTTGAGATGCATGGAAAATGCTAATTGAACTTCAATTTCAAGGAGCTCTACAAAAATAGCTCAAAGAAAACATCAACAGACAGATAGTGTGAAGCCTGCAAGCTAGAGGGTTCAGAAACAATTAATGGCCATTTCTAATTAGAATAGCATACCATCATGAGCAATCAGCCTTGGAATGTTGCAGCAGAGTGACTGCTCATGATGTTATATCATTCTCTGAAACTTTGAAACGGCCTTGGAATAATATTACATCGGTCAAAACCCTCCTCCGATAGCTGGAGCCCAATAATCGGCACCATTGTCACTTCCAACATGCTGAGTACAGGACACGGGAACCAAGCACAGTCCTCTACTCCTCAAGTCCTTTGGCTGGTTTTGATTATCCTGCAAATATGATCAAATAAATATGTACACATAAATTTTAATAAAAATGCGCAAAGGTACTAACTAATGCTATATTCTTGTAAACAAACTCTTCAAACTATGTAGCTAATTAATTCAATGTTCAAAGGCGTGTGCCCTTCATGTTACAACAATAATCAAGAGTCATAATGAGGGTAAGAATCATGATGATTGCAAGCTAATCTATAGACCAAAACGTGTTTTATATTAATGTAAAATAAGTCAAATGAAGGAGAAATTACGTTTATTAATTAGTATGAAGATATTAGACAAAGAAAAGGAAGCTTCTTGTTAGGAGCTCCTTTATGTTTCCAGGCCGATGTCATTCAACAGCTTAATGGAAATAAAAGAATAGAAGAGAAAAATAATATATATAAACATTATCCTTCTTTCCCAATGCGTCTTTGATTCCCAACTAGTTAGTAAAACCTAAAGTAGTCCCAGATTATGCTCTTAAGTTGATATATATATATATATATATATATATATATATATATGCATAAAGCTAGGAACCTTGCTCTTTCATTGCTATTCATTATATGAATACTAAAATGCTAGTTTTAAGCATATATGCTTTCCGCATACAAACTATCCCTACTTGCTTTATAGAGGTGATGGATCCAATAAAGCGATACCTGATGCATGTCTTCAGAAAATGCACAATTTCTTTCTTCTTGAACCTAAGAAGAAAATCATCCCCCCCGTTAGTTAAACTATCGTTATTTTTTAAACACAATTAGCCACACTTGCCTAGTCACACGTGAGCATGTAAGAAGAGAGAGAGGATCTTGGTACTCTTGCATTGGGAATGAGGAACAGTTATATATGCAAGTACTTACAGATTGTTGCTGGTTCCTCATATTTGGTGAGGCAGTGCCCATGTAAGGGGAGCTAAGAGCCTGCAAAAATCAAGGGGGTGGAGGAGACAGAAAAAAAAGAGAGAATAAGAGATTTTACAACTTCCATAACTAAAAAATTATTAGAAAAGTAAGGACTAATTGAACACTTTAACTGCATGCTTCTCACTGATTCTGAGCTGCTTGCAGAGAATATATATTAGATGTTGAAGAAACATCACCTCAATTTGACCCTGAAGGAATCTGATATACCCAATAGCTTCTAACAAGACTGAAGCTGTGTCAGTCTGCAAAAGAGGAACATATCATCATACCCCAAGTCATCTTTTTTATCTTCTTTAATGTTAAAAGGAGAGAGCCAAACGACTAAAGATAAAGGGCAACAGAGAGAAAAGTTTGATCAGTGCAAAATTTAAAAGGAAAAAATAAATGAATCTGCTTTTTGTTTTTTAACAAATAAAAAAAAAACTTATTGTTCATAATTGATTCTTTCTGTTTAGTTTGCAGATCAGGAAGTGGGGGTTTTATTGTGTATTTACCTTTCCAAAAGGGGAAACCATTTGGTGAAGAGCTGTTATTCTATCACCTAACTTCTCCTTCCTCACCTGACTCCAAGGTAAAAAAAATATATTAGAAAATCATAGAGCACTAGTTAGGTTTTTGATAAAACTATCATATTTTTTTAATAGAAGAACCATAGCAGAAGAATCACACATGCTCAAAGAAATAGACAATCGAGAAAGACACCAGACGCCCACAGACACAAACAGGCAGGCGCGCACACATCGACAGAAAGTGAGAGAGATTCTGTGTGTCATATCACCTTAAGAGGTTGGCTTGAAGAGGGCTGAACCCTAGCCTTCTTACACACTCCACCAGTGGCTGTACTGTTACACTAGCAGAAAAGGGGAAAAAAACAGAAGAAAATTGAGAAACCCAGGTGAAGAACTAACCGAGAGCTGGCTGGCTAGAATTTATATGATTCAACAATTGATCATAAATATACGCTATGAAAATGGAGACTACATATATATATATAAAGAGAGAGCTTAATTACTCCAATAACTTAACTGAAGTTTGCTTTCTATCTATCGTACCTCAGATGACTGATCTGGATGCTGACTTGCCCCATCTGCCTTGTTGTAAGAGAAGTCTAATATACTAGTACTACTACTTAAACTTGTGACGCAAGACCTAGGGGAAGAGACCGGCATCGCTTGTGGCCAAGCTGTGGGCCTAGCTGCCTGAAAGTCTTCTTCTCCATGACCATATAAGTTGCTATTGTGGGAAACCTCTTGCTTTACATCAGCATCTAAAGAAATACTTGGAGACGGATTTAAGATTTGGTCTTCCCAATTTTCCAACTTTTTAGGCTGAAATTGACTCAGACCGTACCTATCTTCATATCCTGACGAACCACCCCTGACAAACAAATAACCAAATTAATGAAAGCTTAAAATCCAGGTCAAGATGATCTGTGATTAGCATGACTGCTAGCTGTATACAAGGAAAAATCCAACAGACACACTCAAGATAAAGATATTTAAGGAGACAAATTTCTAGATCAAAAATCTATTGAAAACTCATGTAATATGTGAAAGGCTTTGAACTTTTAGGAAAAGAAAGGACAAAAATCCAAAAACCAAAAAAAAGGGAGATAAGAAAGATAGTGTGAAACAAAACTGAAATATGATTAGTGGAATAAAAATTTAAATTAATCTATGGATTAAGTGTAGCATGTTACGTATTAACAAGATGAACTAGCGAGAGAGAGAGAGAGAGAGAGAGAGAGAGAGAGAGATACAAAAGTAGTTGGCTCCATGACTGTGGAAGCTCTTGGTTATCAGGCAGAGAATTCAAAGGGAATGGAGAGGATCCAAGTACAAATTGGGAAGGGAAGGTAGATGGAGAAGATGATAACAAAGCAGAAGGTTGCTGTGAAGGTGGATGCATGCTCCACCAGCTAGGGTTTCCTGCCATCGTTAGCTTTGCAGTGATGATCCTCTGCAAAAAACACACTTCAATTCATGCCTTCAAAAGAGAACCATAAAAATTTAAAACTTTTTCCCTAGCTCTTTTTTTTTCGCTTTCTTGATCACTTTGTCATATTTTCTCGTTTATGCACCCATAAAAGCCCTTTGCTAAAGCTTTGAGTGCCTGTTTGCTTTTCTCAGATGAGGCTGAAGAAAACTTGAGCCTTTGTCCTCAAAGAATTTTTATAGAAATGTGGGGTTAAGGAGCTTTACATGTCTCCTTCTCTTTCCTTCTTCTTTCACTCATGTAGTGTTCTTTTTTATTCCCTCTGCTTTAGCTTTATTATAAAGTGGGGCAAGAAAAGCTGGTGGGCAGTGTCTTCAATCCATAAACTAATGGTTTTGTACCAGCTCCCTTGATTTGGGGTAGTACATTGGGATTAATTGTATTGGGAGATAGATATAGGAGAGTTAGAGTGGGATTAGGGTATAAGGACAGTATTTATCAATTTGATATTTATCACGCTTTCTCTTTGCAAGTGCAATAATGCAGGTGAGCGAAGAGAAACACCAAATCTATGTAGACCCAACAATTTCACTACAATGCGAAAGGCTTATTGGAAAAAGTTTTTACCCCACACCTCATACGATATGTACTATCATATATATAATATCACTCAAGCTGCTGCTTTATATTGTGTTTATGAGGTTGCTTTTTGCACATTCCCAAGCAGAAAGAGATTGCTAGGGTACAATACTACGACTTGTTATGCGTCTGTTTCAGTCGAAGAAATTTCCATGAATTTGTGCACACATGATCTGGTCTGCGCCTTAGTAATCGAACCCAAGAAAATTAAATACATTCATCAAGTTTAAGGATGTCTCATGCTCCAGCATTCTTCTAATGATATTTTGGTCAGAGACTTATAATGTGCGCCCCCGACGTGCATTATACTTTACATTTTAGGCAGGACACTATATTATGATTGAAGTACTGCAATATAAGTTATATATATATATATATTCAGGATATAGGATAAGCAGAAAGTGAACGTGTTCAGATGCTGCGAAATTAAATAGCAATGTGATCTTGGATCATATGATTTGTTGCCTTGAAGCATGAAAAAAAAAAAGTACTTAACAGAGAGCAAAACCTTGTTCCAGATGATTTCAATGTTAATGATAATGCAACGGTGAAAATCATAGGATATTGGCAATCCTTAGACTGAAAAAAAAACATTAACAGGCCCACAAATTGAATGTAAATGATGCAGCTGCCCGCAGTGTAATTTATAGTCGATCCAAAATACAAGTGTAACAGCAGCAGTTATTAGAAATTGGTGTACAAATATTATTATACACTCCTATACATACATACATACATATACTGAGATAAGTCTATGTATATTAATATTTGCAGGTGCCTTTTCGGACAGTAGGAGGGGCATACATAAAGTGATGAGTTTGGAGAAATATACATATAATGGAACTTGCACTCAAATATCATGTTTGACCTCAAAGAAATTTGTATCCAATATAAAATTAGCACTTGAAAAAGTTTGTGAATTCATCATATGAAATAGAAAGCAATGATGATGGAAAAACTTTCCTAGGAGTATTGAATGCCTATGTCATCTTATTTTCCTTACTAAAATACTCATATAATCATTATCCACTAATTCATAATTTATTATTTTTAAAAATTATAAATGGATAATACCAATATATATATATATATAATCAATTTAATTACCATTTAATTATGAAGGTATAAGTCCTAGTTCATGCCAAAGTGTGAGATTCATTAAATACAATTTATTTTAGACTAGTGTTACAACTCAATTTTTGACCTCTCAAAAATTATAAAAAAAAAAATAAACTATTTTAAAAAAATATCTTTCAAAAAGAAGAATTAAAAGAAAAAAATTACAAATTACAAATAGGGATGAAATTATAAAGAAAAATTAAGAAAATAATTGAAATTAGCTAAATAATAAAAAATAGAAAAATCAAAGACAAAATTGAAAAATAGCCAATATTGAGGAACAATTTTAAATGCAATCATGGATAAAAATGAAATTGGCAAAAATAGAAAAAGACAAGGACCAAATTCAAAATGCACCAACATTAAGGGACCAATGTGCAAATGTGAAAATTATAATTAAATAAAATGACAAGATTTGATATATATAATACATCGTTTCATGTATTAATTCAAAAAAATCAATGCATCAATATGAGGTTGTTTCTCAACATTTACCTTGTCAATTCTCACCAAAAACACATAAAAGATACATCTTAGTCTTGAATGACATGTATTGGGATTAAAATATAAAAAAAAACACTTTTAAATTATATCTCATAATTTCTTTGAAACAATTAGACTTGAAATAGCATGATCCTTTAAAATTCACAAGTTAATTCCAAAACAAGAAAGTAATTTTTAAACAAAAGAGGTCAATTACTGAATTTGCAAAGTCCTTGTTAAAAATAACATTTACACCTTTTTTAAGTTATTCTTGAAAAGTTGAGCAACCAAGAGAGGCAATGCAGTCCATCCTAAGATGGATAATAAATAATATTCAGATCAGTTAAGGGCAAAGAAGTAACTATGATAATAATAAACAAATGATGATTCACCAAAAATTCATCAAAACTGTGACTGACATATGACAATGACAAATGCTTCTTAAAGATAATTAAAAAAACAAGTACATCTAAATCAGATGAAGGTAACTTTTCTCAAAGACAATAGACTATTTGATGAATTCAGACAGTATTTGAGAGTAAAGTTGCACTTGAAGGGCATCTTTATGGCCAAAGATCCACTCTGTCCTTTTGAAGAATGGTATAATACATGAAAATTATTATCACATAAATGCATTAATTAGAGGAAATTTACAACAGTCATTAATATTAGATTATTTGATAAACTCATTCAAATAAATATGAATAATGAAGCGTTGTTTCTCCTTTAAGACATAAATGAGTGGGAAATGGTGCAAGATCATTATAATTGGACGATACAATCCAACCAGGAGAAAATTTCATGGCGAAGAAAGTTTGTCACTTTTTAAAGAATTGTTAACTAAGCAGGGCTTTATTAAGAATCTCTACATTTCAATCATGTCATTAAGAATCTCAACATTTCAATGATGTCATTAGAATCTCTAATTTTAAATCAAATTCTCAATCTTTACCTTGTGATTAGAAATCTCAAATTTGAAAATTGTTATCAAAAAATCCTCTATTGGTCCTTTTTATTAGGAAATCCCTGATTCTATTGTGTCATCAAAAAATCCACATTTAACCTTGTCATTAGGAAATCCAAATTCAACCATGTCATTAGGATTCTTAATTTTTAATGTTGTCATCAGGAAATTCATTGTAAACTTATCATAAAAAATCTTACATTTAACCTGCGTCAAGAATCTCACATTCAACCCTTTCATCAGAAAATCTAAAAAATTAACCCTACCATCAAGAAAGACATGTGTCTAACTCTGCAATCAGGAAGCACTAAGAAATCAACCTTACCATTACAAAATACAATCAGGAAACACCAAAAATTTTCAGTCATATCATTAAGAATCTTCACATTTCAACTCTGTCATCAGGAATCTCCATATTTCAATAATGTCATCAAGATCTCCAATTTTAAACCTTGTTACTAGAAATTCTCAATCTTTACCTTGTCATTAGGAATCTCAAATTTAAAAATTGTTATAAAATAATCACCTATTGAACCCTATTATCAGGAAATCCACATTCAACTTTATCGTTAAGATTCTTAATTTTTAACATTGTCATCATGAATCTCACATTTAATTGTGGATCAAGAATCTCATATTCAACCCTCTCATTAGGAAATTCAAAAAATTAACCCTATCATCAAGAAAGACTAGTGTCAACTGTACAATCAAGAAGCACCGAGAAATTAACCCTACCACTAGGAATGACATATATACACCTGCAATCAGAAAGCATCAAGACAAACATTAACCCTACAATAAAAAAGTCGAACATAGCAATCAGAAAAGGACAAGCATCAACCTTGCCATCAGGAAGTGCCAAGAAAATCAATCATAGGCAGGCTATTTGAAATATAAACCACTGGTTAGTCGCCTGAATAGAGACTATCCATGAAAAATTCTAGATATTTTTCACACCATGGGCAAGTCACCCAATCAGAAATCACAAGCAAGCTACCTGATCATAAACCATGGGTTGGTCACCCAAACAAAGACCATTTGTAAAAAAATTATTGATATTTTTCACAACATGGACAAGTCATTTAAACACAAGTCATTCTATCTTTTAGCTTGTCACTCTCTAAAGTGAGTGAATCTTTAAGATGACCACTCTCTTAAAGGTTGAAATTCCAAAATTTTCCTCGAGTTTGTCGCTATCAAAATGACTAGATCTTCAAGATGACTACTCCATTAAAGGTTAAAATTATAATTTTTCTTCGAGTTGATCTCTCTTTTAATAAATTTTCTTAACAAGATGAAAACCTTCAATTTTCAAGAAAAACAAATTCAATTTTGAAACATTTATAAAGATAACCATCTCTTGATTTTCTCCCAAATAAGGATGGCTTTCATATCTTCTCTTTTCTTTATAAAATTATTTTTAAAGTCCCTCACAAGATTTTATATTGTAAAGATTGTAAAGAGGAGGAAAATTGTCATAACCTAATTTTTTACCCTTTTTTTCTTACTTTTTGAAAAAAAAAATCAAAAAATAGCAAACAATCCAAATATATATATATATACATATATTTGATGTATTTATGTCATTTTTTGAATTTTTAGTGTCTTTTCAGAAAAATTAAAATTTTAAAAATTTACTTTTGATACGTTCAGTTTTTAATGCATATATTTCAAAATTATTGATCAATTTTATTGAATCGATATTGGTATTGTCATTTTTTAAAAATATCAAAATACAAAAATAGTAATAAAAATGAAAATAAAAAATATTTGGAAATAAGGATCAAAATTGTAAAAAAAGAAAATAAGGAACCATAGTTTTTAAGTTGTTTGGGAATCAATCAATTAGAAGGAAAAGAACAAGCTTGTTTTTTTATATATAAATAAGTGGTTATCACACGAAGAGAGAGAGAGAGAGAGAGAGAGAGAGAGAGACTTTTAGGGAGCATTAGAAAAATAAAAGAGAAGAATTAGTTCGAGCAGACAATAAAATCGTGACCCTCTCTCCCTTGAAAAACAAGAAACCACCAAAAGAATTAATTCCTTCTATAACACACCACCGACCATCGACCTCCACCGGCAACTTCCTTGTTCACCAACTT